CTGTCGGGTCTCGGGTCTGATCACCTGTTTCTTGTGTCTCTGTGTTTGTGTGTTGTTGTGCGTGGCTTGTTTTGACAGCTCGCCACGTGCGCATATGTCAGCATGATTGTTTCCCCGCCCTCCTTGTTTCTCTGCTCGCCTCTGGGTTCACACCTGGTTCTGGTTATCTCATTAGCTTCCCCTTATAGCTCCTCGTGTTTCTCTGTCTTTTGTCAGATTGTTGTGATTATTCCCTTGCTCTGACTGTCAGTGTTAGTATCGCTTACCAGTCCTGTCTTGTCTCGTCCAGGCTCCAGTGCTCGTAGCTGCCTGTTTATTTTTCCACACCTCTCTGTGCGTTCAGGAATCTGTGGGCTTCCTCCGGCATCCGCCCAACCTGGGACTCTGCGGTCTCGTCGTTGGGCTGCTCAGCCTCTCGCTCGGATTAGTGAGCTGCCCCTCCGGCTTCCTCTCCACTGCCACTGTTGCGGCTTGTTTCAGCCTCCAGCCGCTGCTATCCACCCATCTGTGTGGTTGGGAATTCCACGTCCACACGAACTGTCCGCGGAGGAGCTCATTGCCCGTGGTGATATATCTCTGTACAATAAAGCCCTCTGTTGAACCCGCACCTGAATCCAGTCTATTCCCTGACAGAAAACACTCTAACCGAAAAACCTTTAGTGCTTTTCTATAGTATTAAGCCTCAGATGTCAAATATACATCGGATTGGTTTCTTCTTTAAATTATTAAAAAAAAAAGTAAAAATATGAATGGTATTATAATGTTATACTAAAACTAAAACAATGGAAAAACCCTTAAGATAACATGTAAAAAGAAAAAAAACATATCTTAAGTGTGCAGAATAACATAAGTGGACTTTGAACGATTAATTGCCGCTTTGCACGATTACGTAATTGTGGCATCCATAATTGTAATTGCGATTAGAAATTTGATTAATTGTGCAGCCCTACTGGATGGTCATCCAACCATTTCTCACTATGACTAAGAGTTTCAGACTGGTTTGTTGCTGGATGCCAGCAGCTGTCTGAGGCAGCACAAGCTGCAACTCATGAGTGTGTTATTTGATCTGACTGGAGTGAAGCAGTGATTCAGCCATAAGCAGAGAAAAATGCAATTAACCAGGCCCTGGATTAGCGTTTCATCGCTGCTGTACAGTTGTAGAGACAGAAAGAGGGAGCGAAAGAGATAATAAGGATAGAATGTGAGTGGGTGTGGATGAAAAGAGAAAAATATTAATGCAATGGTACAGTAGATATCGTGGAGAGATGACTGATACTATACTTAAAGAGATGGTTCACCCGATTTTTATTTATTTATTTGAAATCTTTCAAATCATTTACTCATTCCAAACCTGTATGACTGACATTCTAGCATCAAAAATAAAAGGAGATATTTAGCAGAATGTCCAAGATACTTCATAAAATGAAAAGGGATGAAGAGCAGAAAGTCATACAGGTCTGGAACAACATGAAGGTGAGCAAAAGGCAAAAGTTTCATTTTTGGGTGAACTATCTCTTTAAAAGGAAGCACCTCAATTGCTAAAAACATAAGCAACAAAGTTATGTCTGTCAAAAAGAGGAAGGAATGACAACAAACCAGTAATCATGACAAAACTGGTGAGTTCCTACACGTTGATGCTCACAGTGTATCTATTTAAGCAGTTATAACATATGATAATGTACAGTATGCATGTTTGGTGTAAGGTGATCCACAAAATTAGCAGCAAGACTTCCAGCTGTGTGACCGGGTCATACTCGACAGATGGTGTCTGAAACTGTAGGAAAGGGCATGTTTGTGTATTTGTGTGTGTATACTATATGTCACATTCCTTTAATACACCATGCATGAATAGTGTGTATTTGTTTGTAATTTGAAATGTGTGTGTATGTTTGTTTGTTGGCTGCCTAGAGGTCACTGGAAGCTGAGCTGCTAAAAATAAGCAGAGCAGGTCTGACAGGGCAGTGATTCACAGCCACAGCAGTGCCATATTTCCTCAACAAACTCACAACAGCAAGTGACCCCTGATCTCCCTTTCTCTCTCCCTCCCTCTCTCTCCAAATGTCATTTGAGCATTATTCAAAGTCTGGAGTGAAAACCAAATTGCATTGGGCAATGCAAAGAGATTTTGTCAGTGGACAACATAAGCCAAGACTTTAAAATGGAAAAATCTTCATAATTTATGACCATAACACGGGCAGTTTCTATTTAAATTCTGAATAAAAACATTAAGGATAACATTAATATAAATATAATTATTATTATTGCTGTTATACAACAACAACAAAAGAGAATGAAAGAAATTTATATTAATAAACATTATTATTATTAGTAGTAGTAGTAGTCCATTAATAAACAAAAAAGAGAACGTAAGAAATAGTAGATCAGCATTTAAAAAAAAAAGTTAATTTGCAAGTTAAAATAAAGTGGATATTGCATTGCCTTTATTCCACAAAGCAAAACCATATACATTTGCGCGTGCACACACACACACACACACTTACTTACTTGCAAGGTAGGATGCGGACCACATCGTTTAGCTGATAACCTTCAATGCACACAGCACAATGATTAAAATCTGGCTCTGTTTCCTGCAAGACATGAACACACAAAAAAAAAAAGAATAAAGATGAGCCTTTTCATGAGTAAAGATATAGTGAAAAATGGAATTGTCAACATTAGAAGTAACATTAGGACACAGATGCAGGGTACATCAGGGCAGTTTTAGGATCATTTGCCAGTCAAACAAGAATAGGACTATGTCAAATGGCAAGAACTAGCAAAAATCATTTTAACAGAAGCCAAAAACCAATAAATGACCACTGACCACACTTAAAGTGTAAATGCTGTCCGACAAGACACATTCTAAGCAAGATGTTGCAAAAATTGTTTTTAAAATTGTTATGTGCAGCTGCATTTTTGACCAATGCTACTCAGCACCACACCACAGAAATAGAAACCAAGTGACCATTGCAATGTTCTGCTGCTTATCACTGGATGTCACAAGGTCAAAAAAAGAAGGAACCCCCCCCCCCTTCCCCATTCAATATAACTACAAAAAAAATACAATTTCAAAATATTACTTTTTTATCATTATTATTTAAATGATAATCAGTATCAATACAGAAATATAATGTACAGAAAAAAACTCTTAATATAACTCTCTTTAGGACCCTCGGACTTTAATCTTCCCTACTATTTCTACTTCAGCATCACTACCCATTATTATTAAATATGTATGCTGGCCTTATGACAACTATCTGTGAGAAATGGGAATAATGCAGGTGTGAAATTATCTTTAAACTCTTGCCAATATGCTTTGAGTACCTGCATTTCGCTCTGTATTGATCTGATCTCTTGACCTCCTCCCTGCCTCGTCCTTGTAATCATCTTGCCCAGTTATTCTCAAGTGCATCATTTAAGGTTCAGATACCACACTCATACACTTGATTATGAAGTGAAACTAATAGTAATTTTTTTAAATAGATTAGAGATTAGATTAAAATGGTGTAACTACAGCAATCTGTACCATTACAAAGTATGTAATATACATGTATACAGTATTGCATGCAGAATGCTGTTATTATAACAGAGCAAACTGCACATAATAATCTCTTCCTAACTTCTGACAGTCCAATCAAACAATACGTCAAGGCACAAAAAAGGATATAAATGCATAATAACTGTTTTTATGTATGAGGCGATCACTAGTTGTCACTAGCTGAATTAAAAATGCATGTAATAAAGGTCACCTAAAACATGTGATCCACATAATCAGTATAGTGTAGGATAATACAGTTAAACTGTAACATTTCATAATGCACATGGTTCTACATACTACTTAAATAGTAGGCAGCAAAATATGCACCGTAAACTGTTCATTATGAAGCAAGCTAATATTTCAGGTAGTATGTTATTATTTTAAAACATGGTCCTGTGACAAGAGAATACATGTGTCCTAAATATAGTGACACCAAAAATGCATGAATAGTCCTGATATAGTGCACATTTTTATCATGTGACCATTAATTAAAAAATAAATATCATATAAACAGCCACCTGTGACTGAGAGTAATAAAATAAGATTTAATCTCACATCAAATCTTGTTTTGTCCATAAAGCAGGCAGGAAAATGTGTAATATTCTAATTATGTAAAAGTTTTCACAACATTAAAATATTTAGACACATTAGTTTTTCAAATCTAGGGACACTTAAGTAAAAAGAAAGGTCAAGACATGCACATTGTATTATGGGAACAAGTATATTTGGTAAATGAAGTGGGTATTCCATGTGCACCATAAATTTGCATACTCTGCACAGTACACTTAAGCAGCGTCGGCGCCACGGGGGGACCTGAGGGGGCCCGGCCCGGCCACCTCGGTCACTGTGCACCCTCACCTCTGGTGCCGTGCCTCACGCGCACACTAAGCTACTGCATTCATTGGAAGCAGCGCAGCCGTTCACCGTGAGCACTGGTCCACTGTGGCATATTTTTGCTCATTATGATATTTTTCCGTCGATACTGGAACTAAGGCATACTCCATTCCTAATATAAGGTATGATAGCATGTCATTCTGAACATTCGACTGCATTTTGTGTCAAATAATTTCCTAACACAGAAATACTGGAATGGAAATAGAATAAAAACAGAAAGTAGAGTGGAAAACATTCCATTAGTGTGGTTCTAGAAACTCATGTCAACTCCCAGAGAAAACTATGGGAAGCTGCTCAGGTAACAGTGTCTCTATGTAGTTATTGCAGGGTGACTGAGCAGGAGAGAACGATCATTCAGCAGATTTAGTAGATACAATGTGTCAAAGATGCTGTATTTCTCTGGCTGTTTTCAGCCCATCTGTCACTTGACTGACCTATGAGGTCAGTTTGAAGTGAATCTTGACACCACAGAGGAAACGTTGCCTGGAGGAGTGACCAGTGATCTGCATTTCTACACATGCATTTTGTTTTTTAAAAGCTTCAGTGTTTTTTATAACCCTTTATTACCAATTAAGAAAAGCATGATTATGACAAAGCTATGACAAAAATGAGCTAGTGTAGTGATGTTTATGTATTGATATATGCCTATGTATTATTTGATTTGATTTTAGCAATAAACAGCATTATTAACTAAAATGATCAAAAATCGTTTTTGGACATTCAAATAAAGCTGAAATAAAATAAAATAAAAACAGATGAAAAACTTAAACTTCAACAAAAATTATAAATTTTGAATTTGCAACTAACTGAAATAAAGCTTTAAAACTAAAGTCTTGCTACTAAAACGATTTTTTTTTTAAATGAAATAAATTAAAGGGGTCATATGATGCGATTTCAAGTTTTCCT